AGCACTGGATTAAAAAGGGAAATATTGTCACCTAACACATCTGACAGTCCTGGGCCTGCATGTAAACCAGTGACCGGTGCTCAGTGGTCACCAGCTCTGCTCCTAATATGGCACCTGCAGATAACTTGTTATCACCCTGAAGCCCAGGACCCTCCCTGGGCTCCTCTGTCCCAGCCCACAGCCAGAGCCTGCTATATGGCAGGACACATGCAAATAGGCCCGTCCCCTGCTGCTGAAAACAGCCCAGCCCGGCCCTGCAGCTCTGCACAGGAGCCCAGCCGGGATCCAGGGGCCACTCGGGTCAGGAAAGATGTGGACACTCACCATGGATCGTGGGCTGAGCTGGCTGCTCCTCCTGGCTCTTCTAGGGGGTCAGTGCTGGGGAGCAGGAGACCCTGAAGAGGGGAGGGGACAGGAGGGGATAAGCGGTGCCTGACAACCAGTGTCCTGACTGCTGTGTCTGTGTTTGCAGGTGTCCGGTGTGAGGAGAAGCTGGTGGAGTCTGGGGGAGATTTGGTGCAGCCTGGGGGATCTCTCAGACTCTCCTGTGTAACCTCGGGATTCACCTTCAGCAACTGCTACATAAACTGGGTCCGCCAGGCCCTAGGGAAGGGGCTACAGTGGGTTGCAAGAATTTATGCTGATGGTGGTAGCATATACTACGCGGACTCCGTGAAGGGCCGATTCACCATCTCCAGCGACAAAGCCAAGAACACAGTTTATCTGCAGATGAACAGCCTGAAGCCCGAGGACACGGCCGTGTATTTCTGTGCGAGAGAGGCACAGTGAGGGGAGCAGGTGTGAGCCCAGACACAAACCCTGCAAGGACAGGAGGGGGCTGGGTGTGATCACTGTGCATGGTCAGGACCAAGGGACCCGGGACAGCAGAGGCACAGGAGGCTCAGAGCACAGAGCACAGCCAGGAGCAGGTGCAGGGTGGGGCAGGGGCCTCCTGCCTGGTGTCAGCCTCCCCCCACACCGGGTCGGTCTACACAACCCCCTCAGCTCTGGTCAGCCCTGGGACGAGGTCAGAGCTCTCTGCTACACAGGGTCAGGTCCTGGCGAGACTGAGCCGTGTCCAGAGGATGAACTGCTGGGGCTGGCCATGTGTGTCCTAGGGGTTCCCACAGACGAAGGGGCTCTGGCCAGGCCCAGGTGTGTGTCAGGGGCAACAGAAGACTGACAGGCTCCTCCTAATCCCCCATGTCATGTCCTGGGCAGCCCCAGCACTCTGGCCCGGGGTGGTGATGCCCCCGCCCTGCCCCCACTGTGGCTTTTCAGCGTCTGTCCCCTCCGTTTATGGTGGGTCTGGATCCTCCAGTGTCCTGGGAAGGGGAGCGGGGACCATTTTGGCCCTTTCAGGTCACCCTGGAGCACAGACGGCAGCCCCCCGCCAGGCCCCTCTCCATCTCTGCTGCCGGCCCCACCAGCTCTCCCTGCACTGGGCTCCTGAACCCAAGGTCACAGGCCTGTGTGACTGTGGGGGACACTGGGGGAGAAAGTGTGGCCAGACACTGACCCTGCAGGGTCAGGAGGGGGGGCTGAGACACCCAGGACCGGCAGGGGGCGCTGGGGCCACAGTGTGAGGTCAGGACTCAGGGCTCAGGGTACTGGGCAGCTGGGCTTTCCTGACAGGGTGTTTTAAAGTATTTTGACCAAAATGAGAGACACTGAGTGAGTGACCAGATGTGATGGAGACAATGACGGTGACCGTCTGGTATGTGGTTTTCCAAAAAAGGAAAAAAAACTGAAAATCATATTACTGCTAACCATGGTCTCCCATGGACCTTTCCTTTCCCTGCTGCGGTGGTGAGTTACGGGATTGACATGTCCGTGACACCCCCCTGTGTCCCTAGAACAGCCCCCGGGTCCCATGTGGGTCCTCTGCTGTGCTGTTAACTCAGTTCGCTGTGGTTTCTTGAGGGTTTCTCGTCTGTGTTTCTCAGGATGTTGGCTGCAGTTTCCCCTGTGTGTGACCCCGTGTCTGCGTCCTGTCAGGACCTGCTGCCTCATAGATGCACTTGGCAGCAAAATCTCTTCTGTGTTTCTGGAGAGCACAGGACGGACAGTGACTAGTTTTCCTGTGAAAGTTTGGTCGACTTGGTAGAGACCAGCAGCCCCGCGAGTCCTTTTTGGGGGTTTTGATTCCTCCAGGTCTTCTAGCCGGTGAGGCTCCTCACAGGTTTTCTGTTTCTTCCACTCTGCCTTGGAGATTTCAGTCCTTGTGCTCGTCCGTTTCTCCCAGCTCTCCCGCGGGGGTGCCCACACCCCAGTGCACACAGCAGCGTCCTCTGTGTAGCTGTGTGTGGCCTCGTTGTGTATATGCGACGTGGTCTGTTACAACCGCTGCTCATTCATGCATCATTCCATTTATTGCACTTGCCCGCTTCTCTCCTGAGAACATAGACTGTGCCCATAGTGTTTATTTTTAAAAATATAAACCTATCATTGCTCATTTGAGCTGTGTTTTCCACTGATGTTTAATTTACTTCTCCTCTAATTCCTATCATTTCTTTCCATTTGCTGTTGGATTCACTAGTACTTCTTTGTTTTTATTTTTAACTAAGCTCAGGTCACAGGGGATGACTGACTTGCCTCTCTCCTGCTCCTCTGTGGCCCTGACCACGGGGAGCTCCCTGTGCTGCGTGGGGGAGGGGAGGGCAGGTCCGCGTGGGCCGTTGCGCCACGTCGCCCTCTGCCCTGATGTGACTTACTGTCCCTCCTGGCTGCAGACGCCGTGGCCGTCACAGGCGCTGGGAGGCTCACCCATGGCAGGTTTCAGACGAGACCTCAGAGCGGACTCAGAGGCGCCCAGTGACCAGAGGAGGCCACTGGCAGAGTCAGAGTCGAGACCTTTTCAGACGGGGCCGTCACTGCTTCTCAGGGAGTGAAGTGTGTTTCTCAGTCTGCTGTGCGCGCAGCTGCGGGTGAGACTCCCACAGATGTGTCCTTTCACACC